AAACAAAAATTTTGACCATATTTTCGGAACGGAGTGACATATGTATAACAGACCAAGTGCAAAAGAAATAAAGTATTGAGCGCTGTCGAAAGATTTCATAATTTTCATAACAACTAGGGAATTCTGTAAGAAAATGCTCGTTTAAATATTGGAATGTTTGCGAACTGCATTGTTCTGAGCATGGGCTCTGAATTCGATCATCTTTATCGCTGGGAGCAGATAATCCGATTCAAACACGTCCACCACACAAAGTAAACGGGATGAATTATGGTTAACGTATGACATTCACAAGTAGTAAGTACAAACTGTCTTCGGATAAACTTATTCCCATTGTGGCATTTCCCGTTTCAGGTTCATCAGAGGAACACCACCGTGGTCGTTCTTCGAATAGGGATTACGAAAGCCACCATCAACCAGCAATTTCGAAAATGTTCGATGCATAATCAAGTTGTAGGAGATCAGAACACATTCGGATTATCAGAGCAGAATCGCGCGACGCAATACTTTAGGGTTCTTGCAGTCAACCAAGGTTACGATGGAGGCACAGTGTCAGTTGATGAATACCACAAATAAAAAAAAGATGAAAAAGCTTGTGCACCTGATATTACCTAGGCTTGCGGATCTAAAGCGGGGGGGGGGAGAAGATATTTTTCGCCACAAGATGAGNAAGATGAGAAGATTTTCGGACCTACGCTGATATTTGGATAATCATGCAGGGCACCAGCGAAAAGATTAAACAACCTCTTACGTATGGCTGCTGAACGTAAATAGCTCGAAGTGCTCTTTCTTGAATGTTTCATAAACTCCAGCCATCACATATTACCTCACCACAGTGAGAACCCTCACGTCTCATTTACCGTATTTTTGTTGTCGCACACTTACACACCTGTTTTATTCATTCTTGACTATCATCTTTTACCTAACATTTTATCCGGCTTTTCCCTATCCGATTTCCGTGAATCGACAGATTGCTATCTACTGAACGTTTAGCATATAGACATTCATTCAACTTCAGCCTAAGCCTTGTATAATTCTATTGCCTATATCGAACTATACACGTAA